GGTGACCAGACCCATTGTTCACATTAAGACTCAAATAACCGTGACTGGGGTAGGCAAGGATTATGCTTTTTCATGGCGACGGTTATGCAGTGAGAATTATCCAGCAATGCACTTGGATACAGGTAATAACTAATCAGTCAGATTTGGGCTGAGTTGATTGGATAACTGTAAATATGTCTCACAATGGAGATGAGAATAGTTCCTTAATATGCTTTCAAAAACAGACCATTATAAATGAAACGAAGGCTCTTACCATGTTTCACATACATTTTAGAATCGTTTTTTTTTTTTTACACATCTGCGGTTACATTTTGCATGTCTCCAGTCATATAAATTTAAGTTTGCATATTGTGACTAAGTTTGATTGTACTTTACAAGGGTAGAGATGCAGGATCTGTGTGTGTGTGTTTGACTGTCTGTGATGTTATAAATTATATCAATTTGGTGTTACCCCTGGATTAGGGCCTAATGAATTTATTTCAATTGACTGATTTCCTTATGCACTGTAACTCAGTAAAATCTTTGAGATGGTTGCATGTTGCATTTATATTTTTGTTCAGTATAACGTTACGCATATAGTATGTGGCCCTTCACTTGCGGTTATATTTTACATGTCTCCAGTCATATACATTTAAGTTTGCATATTGTGACTAAGTTTGATTGTACTGTCTCACATCCGATTGAAAAATGCCAAAAGTTATAGCAGAAAAGACAACCAGAACACCAAGAAGTCAAAAACCAAGGTTTGTTTCGATCTGTTTGTACTTTACAAGGGTAGAGATGCAGGATCTGTGTGTGTGTTTGTACTTTACAAGGGTAGAGATGCAGGATCTGTGTGTGTTAGTAGTTGCGTGTCAATGTGAAAATGAATAAAGGCTTCACATGTTTTGTCACGCATATAGTATGTGGCCCTTCACTTGGTTTCAAAAACTCAGTGGCCCTTGAGCCAAAAGGTTTGCCCACCCCTGGATTAGGGCCTAATGAATTTATTTCAATTGACTGATTTCCTCATGAACTGTAACTCAGTAAAATATTTGAGATGGTTGCATGTTCCGTTTATATTTTATGTCCCGTTTATATTTTTGTTCAGTATAACGTTAGCTAGATAAAAAAAAAACATCTGGCACTGGTTGGCGTTCATGTATTAATGCTTGCTAGCTACTAAAAACATCTGAAACAAACCTTGGTTTTTGACTTCTTGGCGCAAAGAAAATACAAAATTACACAAATTGAGTCGTAATAAATATTTCCAACACTTGGAAATATGATTTATGACTGCAGGAAATGTTTTTACTTCTGCAGTAATTAGAATGGTAGAGACCGTGGCCGATTGGTTTGTACCGCCATCTACTGGCAGAGCCATACTCCTGTGGTTTCATCATGCATAATTCCTTTCCCATAATTTCACTAGAATAATTATTACTACATTTCAAACTGGTGAATAGCAGTTTTATTCATAAAAACAAAAGTTATCAATACAAAATGAAGTACAACTATGCTTTTGTACAAACAAAAACGTATTACAAAAAGATGTCCATCTCTGATGCAGTGTATTATGCATTTTACATCTACTGTGATAACACTTTGTTCCTTCTCTATCACACTACAACTTCTGATAACTGTACATATAAACAATGTTACAACAATGTTGCAATTACTTTCCCCTTCCATGCTGACCGCTCATTCCTCAGAGATGGGAATGTCCTCCAACGTCATGGCGATGTCTCTCAGTTTGGGGTCATCTCTCCAGTTCACTTTACTGGCAATGATGATCCCCTGGAGAAAAAAACTACATAGCATCATGAGTTCTGACATTATTGACAAAACAGGTAATATGCCATCATCCTCTTCGCACTAAGGCTATGTCCCGATTATATCTCCTTCCTCCATAAGTGTGCACTTGTTCACTTCCCTTTACTGATTTGGAAGGAAATGACTGGTATAAGAAATATGGTAGAAATTCCAACTAGCCCATGACTCCACCAATCCAATGCTTTTAGATTTGTGAGAAGAAGTAAATGAGTGCACACTTCAGAAGAAAGGAGATATTATTAGGGACATACCTTAAGAATGAAACTTCTTAAAGATATAAAAAGGCCCATTTACCCGAAGGACATTCTGTGTGACGGTGGCCATCTTCTGGTATTTCTCCAGGTGAGACTGGCCTTTCTGCAGGATGTTTCTGTACTTCTCTGCCTCTGGGGGCTCCCTCTTCCTCTTCAACTCATCCATCTCCTTCATCTTCTCATGAGTGAGACGCTTTAGATCTGCAGAGTGAGGAGAAAAATAAAATAAATGTAAACGATTGAAATATGTTTGAAGGAGTTTCTTTTTTATTATTCAGTTCACTGCTCCACCTGAACTACAAGGCAAAGTATTAAAACATGAACTAAAAAGGTGATTGTTCATATCTTCAATCAAATTTAGTGAATTCCTATATATCCTCTACGGTAAAGTGTTCATAGTGTGGATGATGAAATACCTAGCCTCTGCTTTTGTAGGTCTGTGATTTGGTCCTGAAGCGCACATGATTCCTGTTGACAAAGCAAACAAGAGGTCAGAAATAACATTCCATAAATCCACAACAGTTGGTGACACAATACAGCAGCAGAGCCAAGCCAATGACCACATCGTTTTTATGATGAAAGCAATAAACATTGTTCTAATTTATAAAACTGTTAGTTACAGTCACACAATCAGATTGGTGAAAACGTCCATTGTCCAAACATATTGATAACAGATGCACCCACCTGCTGAAGTGTCTTTATCTTTGAACAAAGGTCTAGGCTACGATTGGTCAGTCCCCTCATTGCTCTGGAAAAAAAGATACATCAAGTTGTGCTTAAAACATGCATTTACATGTTTTTACACTGGCAAGTGCAGTGTAATTACAACGTCAGTAGGTAAACAACTGTGATACCCATTTGTGGTTTGTGTGACTGACATTTTTACAAACACATTGAACTCTATCACAAAGTAGTGTTAATAATATTTTTCCCCCCCTTCTCAAAGCCAGTTTACATGGAGCTGCTTGAGTCCTTTGATATCAATAAGACAGGGTCTGTGTCCAAAATGGCACCCTATTCCCTATATAGTCCATAGTGCTCTGGTCAACAGTAGTGGACTTTATAGGGCAGGGGTATTCAACTCTTACCCTATGAGGTCTGGAGCCTGCTGGTTTTCTGTTCTACCTGATAATTAATTGCACACACCTGGTGTCCCAGGTCTAAATCAGTCCCTGATTAGAGGGGAACAATGAAAAAATGCAGTGGAACTGGCTTCGAGGTCCAGAGTGGAGTTTGAAGGATATATGGAATAGGATGCCATTTGGGACGCACACAGGTTGTTAGAATCAGCTCCTGAAGGACTTACTCGGCCTCTGGATCACTGGATTTCAGCTTCTCAGAGATGGCATGCCACACCTGCATCCTGACAAATACAACACAACGTATAATCTGTTTACAAACTGTCCAAATGGAACTGATGCTCCAGACTTCTACATAAAGGGTTTGCAAGCAACAAATGCCTATCATAACTAATGTACTAGTAATTCAAGGAAATGTGATAGTTACCTGTGTAAGGCCAATGTCTTGTTAAAATGAGTGATTTTTGCTTCCTCCAAAGTACTAGCATAATCCGGCCTGTGGATTATCAAGAGACAAATAAATCCACTTTTTCTAAATCTGAATTGAGAAAATAAATGTTGGTTATGAATAGGCCAACATGAGATGACATTGCCAACTAAAGACACTCACAAGTCTTTGTCAGCATCAGGTGCACTGCAAGATCTTTTGCTTTTTCCTGTTAAAGAACACTTGACATTTAATAATAATAACCCTATTTTATAGTCACATAGTATATCAGCATACCCAATTCAGTAATAAAAGGTAATGTAATTTACCTGCTTGGAGCTTCACGGTCATCTCAAAACATTGATTTGACATCTGTTCTTTTATCCTGAGGGGTGAAACACTCATGGATGTAAAATGTAATAACAAGACTTAGTATCAGCTCTATCCATCTATCTACCTCATATATTACATACTCTATGACAGGGGTAGGCTATTAAATTGTCATACTGTATAATACATATAAATCTGAAAGTATTGCAGAATGACTGATATGGTCACTAGCTGTAAATATGAAACATCCATAGATCAGAATTGAGGAGAAACCTTAGTATCTCTGCAGGTGAGCTGTCCTTCTGTCCATTGTCATCAACCGTAGGAGCCTGAAAACCATTCAATGCCACGGTCTCTAGGCTTGAGGCAAGGTTTTCCATGTTCAATTATTGCCTGGAAAAATAAAGTGTCAATGTGTTCACCACCAACAAGAGGGGATCAGTCAAACACACCGGCTGCCTATAACCTGTATATTTTCGACCTAGCCTATACCAAAATACTTTGATAAAAGCAAGCAGACAACTCAGTTAGCTACCGTGCTAGCTAAATGACAGGGATGTCAGGTTCTGACAGTAGAAACTTGAAAGCAACTAATTAATTCACACTAACTGAAATGTACTACGCCATATAGTATACAAAAGTATATATGAGTCTGTAAGACTTTACCTATTCCTAGTTTTCAATCCACAATTATTATTCTTCTTCGATTAGGTTTAACGGCGGTTGGCATCCAATTTGTTGCATTACCGCCACCTACTAGACTGGAGTATATTTTGCTTGAAAATGAAATAAAATAAAGAATAACCCTACTATCTAACACTACACTATAATAACACCACCCTACTCCACTATTTAAATATATTCATTCCTACCTAATGCCCTCAACCTGAAATGATGGGACATCACCACTTAACACTCCCTGTAACTCTTCTGATGTCAAGTCTCGCACACCCAAATACCTCTCTGCAGCTGCCACCACAACCTCAATTTTCTTCGACTTGCAGTACAATTAATAACCATTGCTATAAACGCTAAAAATCCAATCTTACTGAAACATATATCACTTGTTGGCCTATCCCTCTGTACTGGTACATATTTACATTTTAGTCATTTAGCAGACGCTCTTATCCAGAGCGACTTACAGTTAGTGAGTGCATAAATTTTTCATACTGGCCCCCCGTGGGAATCGAACCCACAACCCTGGCGTTTCTGGCTCCCAGGTGTCTTTTCTACAGGTAACGAGTTGAGATTAGAAGCACACCCTTAAAGGGAGTGCTCCTAATCTCAGCTTGTTACCTGTATAAAAGACACCTGTCTACAGAAGCAATCAATCAATCAGATTCCAAACTCTCCACCATGGCCAAGACCAAAGAGCTCTCCAAGGATGTCAGGGACAAGATTGTAGACCTACACAAGGCTGGAATGGGCTACAAGACCATCGCCAAGCAGCTTGGTGAGAAGGTGACAACAGTTGGTGCGATTATTCGCAAATGGAAGAAACACAAAAGAACTGTCAATCTCCCTCGGCCTGGAGCGCCATGCACTTCGTGGAGTTGCAATGATCATGAGAACGGTGAGGAATCAGCCCAGAACTACACGGGAGGATCTTGTCAATGATCTCAAGGCAGCTGGGACCATAGTCACCAAGAAAACAATTGGTAACACACTACGCCGTGAAGGACTGAAATTCTGCAGCGCCCGCAAGGTCCCCCTGCTCAAGAAAGCACATATACAGGCCCGTCTGAAGTTTGTCAATGAAAGTGTTGTGGTCAGATGAGACCAAAATTGAGCTCTTTGGCATCAACTCAACTCGCCGTGTTTGGAGGAGGAGGAATGCTGCCTATGACCCCAAGGACACCATCCCCACCATCAAACATGGAGGTGGAAACATTATGCTTTGGGGGTGTTTTTCTGCTAAGGGGACAGGACAACTTCACCGCATCAAAGGGATGATGGACGGGGCCATGTACCGTCAAATCTTGGGTGAGAACCTCCTTCCCTCAGCCAGGGCATTGAAAATGGGTCGTGGATGGGTATTCCAGCATGACAATGACCCAAATCACACACCCAAGGCAACAAAGGAGTGGCTCATTTTTACATTTTAGCAGACGCTCTTATCCAGAACGACTTACAGTTAGTGAGTGCATACATTATTATTTTATATATATTTTTTCATACTTGCCCCCCGTGGGAATCGAACCCACAACCCTGGCGTTGCAAACGCCATGCCAACTGAGCTACATCCCTGCCGGCCATTCCCTCCCCTACCCTGGACGACGCTGGGCCAATTGTGCGCCGCCCCATGGGTCTCCCGGTCGCGGCCGGCTACGACAGAGCCTGGATTCGAACCAGGATATCTAGTGGCACAGCTAGCACTGCGATGCAGTGCCTTAGACCACTGCGCCACGAAGAAGGCTCAAGAAGAAGCACATTAAGGTCCTGGAGTGGCCTAACCAGTCGCCAGACCTTAATGCCATAGAAAATCTGTGGAGGGAGCTGAAGGTTCGAGTTGCCAAACGTCAACCAAAAACGTCACTCCTACTGTCAGACTCATCTTTATCCTGACCCCCTGTGCAAGCCTCGGGCTCCGAGTACTTCACCACACCTACCACCTCCGATACTTCACCCTCACTCACTTCCATTTTTCCTCCTGTCTTCAGCTCACTTCGCTTACATTTCCTACCATTCTTCTTTAACAAACATTCTCCCTTTTCCCCGCCATTTTTTACCGACTCAAGTTCACAATCTTCCTCCCTCTCTCTCTTAGACCTCCTGCCATTTTTTACCGACTCAAGCTCACAATCTTCCTCCCTCCCTCCCTCTCTCTCTCTCTCTCTCTCTTAGACCTCCTCTGCCTCTCTTTTTCCTTTCATTCCTCTTCCGTCATCCAAGTATACGTCTCCTTATGATAATACTGCACTTCTCCTGACATACATCTGTTTCTTGCTTTCTCAAGCGACTCCATTTACGAGCCCCCCCCCCCCAAAGAGTTGAACTGGTAGAACAGTTTTGTAATCTTCTCTGTTTACACGTATTTTCTACGGCCTACTCACCGCTTCGTCTCCTCTTGAAAATGTAGCTCAGGGTTCAATCAACAATGTATGGACCGACTTCTTTATAAATTAGCAAAAAAATACAACATTTCTCACATGAACTGAGAAGTCTAATCCTATTGGACAAATAATTGTAACGATATCCATAACAATATTTCCATTGGTTAAACGTCACGTCACTGTAAAATTAGGCTCTATGATAGGCTCTTGGTGCAACTTTGAACGTACCGCTAGGAAGTTACCACTAATCACGTGACCAGATAATTATTCAGCAACCCCCCACCTCCCTTCAGCAATCTGGACTGAAAGATAGATAGGAAGGTTATACGCCTTTGCTAGCCGCGGTTGTCTTTGACATTTGGTTCACCATTGTCTATAGTGCTTATTTTAACATGTAAAATAAGGTTCATTTTCAATGTGCACTGAATAGCTCAAATTGGTTGATGGAATTTGTCTACTACCAGCATATTGTCCGATTAAGAAGGGTTTTCATGTGCTATTCTTAGAAATCAACTCGGTGCTAACAAACATCATGGTTTGACAGTTTTGGCCTGGGAAACTGACCTGACCGTTTATTTTGTTTTCGAATAATATAACCTACTTTCAGCTGACAGCATCAAGACAAAGGTAATAAATTCTATGTTACAGACAATTAACTCAACTTTTTAAGACACTGGATCTGATCTGCTAAGGGTTTGGAGTCCGTATACATGTCTAAGATATGTTTTATTGTGTATTTTATTCTAAATGGGATGGTGTTATCTTTCGATGACCCGTTAGCTTTTTGACAGCTCACATTAGCATCCATGGGTTGCAACACCCCTATCACATACTGTTGATCCAGAGGTTGTTCTCAACCTATGGTTTCTATACAGCGGACTTGGTCCTTTTCCCTTTTCACATGACAACAACAACAACTCCCTCTTCTGGTACTTTTAGGAACTGAGGATTATTTTCACCCGGAAGAAGACCCGCGAGGACATGGGTGGCAAAGTCAGTAGCAAAATGGCTGCGGTTGGGCGGGTGGTACAGGTACGCTTGTCAAACTGGGATAATTATCGCTCTGCAACCACACTTGTAACTCAAGTGAGTACTTTTAAAAGTTCAATAGTCAATGCAAGTTACGATTTCCAAGGTCAGAAATCAACGAAATTTGTTTTCGCTTTGTTGTTGCTGTGCATCCCCCAAGCTAACGAGCTAGCACATTCACTAATCAGTAGTTCTCCCTGTCCAAGTGTTTACTCTAGCTAGCTAACTTATCTGGCAGTTTATTCAAGGTAATGATAAACATTTTGTTGGCCTACTACTATATGGCATTGCTTTCAATTCATAGCATTAAACAATATAGGATTGTCTGGCTGCAAAAGAGAAGTATTGACGTGATTGAGTAACTTGTCTGTTTTCATTTGACTACCTTTCAGGCTGTGAAACCTCATGCTCCACAAATCAAGTTTCCCAGCAGAGAGGGGGTCCCCAGGCTGAATGGTGAGTAACAACTTGCCAGTGTGATGTTGTTGCACTACCTATTGTTTTATTTTTTGTCCTTGGGTAGTGCTAACCCTATTGAAGAGGACATTCCACCCTTTGACTGTTAAGGGACACAGCTACTGTATGCAATTATGCTTTGCTAGTCAAATTTTAGACTATCGATGTGTTGGTTGAATATTGATTAGTCGTATCAACTTTAACGTGATAGGCAGTAGAAACTGCGTCAATGTACTATTGTAATATTATGCTGTAGCTCTCCTCTTAAAAACATGTTTCCTCTATCGGTTTGACATTTTGTTGTTGGAAAACCTGGGTATTGTTTTCAGCCGCTTTTCAAATCAAAGGTGGAAGCACTGACTTGATTTTCCCTTTATTTTTATTTTTTACATGTCAACCCCAGTGTATTTTAGGAAGAGGTTGTTTTAGTCCTTTCCAATTTCATTATAAAACAGTGCTATGAATGATGAATAAAATAAAGAAAACACAAAGGATGTCCAGTGTTTCCCCTATATGCATTTAGCAGCGGCGCACTGGATGGTAAAACTTTCAGTGTAAACTTAAATTACTAAAACAATATATAAAGTCTGCAGAAAAGATAATGGAGCAATATTTTTTAAAAATAAGAATCTTTGAGAACTAACAATCACACAAATAAAAACGAGACAGTCGGGAAGAATCTGAAATGCCAAAAATGTCATTGATTTTGAGTCACTCAGATAGCATAAGCCATGGCAAAATGTGTAGAATTGCAGGAAATTAGCTTTAAAACAGCAGAATTTTGTCTCTCCGGCCAAGAGGAGGGCCTCAAACTATGCCTTTGGCCATGCCCACTACCAAATCGTAGGGGAAACACTGAATGTCTAAAACAATAACATCACTGATTTAAAAGCTACATGAATAGGCTACTGTTTTAAAATAACAGCCATTTCCTCTGTTTCAGTCCAAGAGACTCTTAAAACATTAGCAGTCAGCTCTCCTAGTTCATCTCCAGTTGTAGCGCCGCCGCTGTTATCGAGACCCCCCGGTCCTGTCACTCTACTCCCTGGAACCCCAGACAGTGTGGCAACAGTGAAGGAACTCCCTCAGAGATACCGCAGGAGGGCATTGGAAGCAGACGAGATGGACTATATTCAGGTGAGTGCCTAGCTGGGGCACTGAAGAAGTGCTGTAATTGTTGTATTTCTTTATAAAAAAACAAACGTGTTTATACAAATACTGAAGGGGGTGGTATTTTCGTGTGACATGCGGCTACACTCATGGGTTGGAGTGTAGCCGCATGTACTGTAATTGGATCTCTGCTTTGAATTTAGCCAATAGTGTTAGAGAAGGCATTCCGAGTACTCAAAGTGCATTAACTGTTGTTTCCGGAGTGTTGCAATACAGTGAAGATCTCACTAACCACCGACTCTTCTTCTGTTTTCCAGCGTGGTGGACCAGAGTGATGTTAAGTGACTCTGTGAATGCAACCCAAATCCTTACCTGTGGAAATCCGTTCCTCAACAAGAGAGGACCTGCTGCCACACCTCATCAGACATCATGTAGAATAAAGATACTATAATTCATGTTGAAATTGTACAAATAAAGTTTATTTTTAAAGACGTGATTGTGTAGATATTTTTAATTTCAAAGGACATTTTTGATTTCATTGTTTGCTGTCTTAGAAGAAAAGCCATTACAGTAAATCTTCCAATTATATGACCATTTATTTGTTCAGCATCCACCTCATTCAATGCTCAATATTTTACACCTTCACTTAATTAAATCCTTGAAGGTTGATTTGAACATTCCCATGATCAACTGTACATCCGTTTTTAATTGACCAGTAAGTCCTCCTGCTTTCTTAGTTGCACATTTTGCTCAGCATTTTTATGACACCACATCCAAACAAGGACCAGACTGAATTTCACCCCAAGACTGAAGAAAATCAAGGACTCTTTTCTCCTGGCCCCTTCAGTCAGAACAGGCGTTATAGGCGGCCCTTAGGGGCCTGGCACGCCCCGCCCTACCGTACATCATAGCCCGTCCAAATAAAATATTGAACATTTATTTGACTGTAAGATGCTTCAATGTCAGATGAAACATCTGAGTGAGCGAAACGGTGCCCCTCTGTCTCAGTATGTGTAGACCATGTATCTGATGTCTGGACCAAAATATTATGGCATGTCATACTATTTCTGGCCATACAGTATCAGATACATGGGCTACATATAGTGAGACAGCGTGACGCTCGCTAGTTTCAGCAGAGAGGAGGTGAAGTGAAAGTGCTCACTCGCCAAAATCTGTCCAGAATAAGCACAATGCGTTTCTATTGGCATAATATGCAGATAAGCTTGTCGCTTGCATTCCCGACTTTGGGACAATGACTCCCATTGTTAGGGTGGAGACTTAAACATCTCATTATATACAGATATCTGGTTTCTGCAAATTGGAAAGCAAAGTTGGCAGGTGCACTGTTTGGATGCTGGCTTCCCCTAAAGTAAATGGATGTTTTGCCAAAATTATGTAATTACTCCTGTCTAAATAAAAACATTCAAAATACTTCACCAGAGAGCATGACTTGGACACAGAGGATCATTAGCTTCTTTAAAAAATGCCTATGCCTATTTGGGAAGCCTGCAATTTGGGCAGCACGCGTGGCAATAGGCCTAGCTGAGTTGCGGCTGTCAGTGAAAAGCGTCTAAAATATGTATAAAGATAATGTCTGTTTATTTTGATCAATTTCCCATTACATAAAGTTTATTTTCTTTCAAAACCACATGAGTGTGCTGTCTCTGATCAACCTTCTCGTTATCTCTCTCAAAACGATCTTCTTGACCATAACCAGTCAGGCTTTAAGACGGGTCACTCAACCGAGACTGCTCTTCTCTGTGTCACGGAGGCTCTCCGCACTGCCAAAGCTGACTCGCTCTCCTCTGTTCTCATCCTCCTAGATCTATCTGCTACCTTTGACACCGTGAACCATCAGATCCTCCTCTCCACCCTCTCAAGGCTGGGCGTCTCAGGCTATGCACACTCTTGGATTGCATCCTACCTGGCAGGCCGCTCCTACCAGATGACTGCTCTTCCTCGCCTGGTTCACCAACTACTTTTCAGATAGAGTTCAATGTGTCAAATTGGAGGGCCTGTTGTCTGGACCTCTGGCAGTCTCTATGGGGGTGCCACAGGGTTCAATTCTCGGGCCGACTCTATTCTCTGTGTATATCAATGATGTCGCTCTTGCTGCTGGTGACTCTCAGATCCACCTCTACGCAGACGACACCATTTTGTATACATCTGGCCCTTCATTGGACACTGTGTTAACAAACCTCCAAATGAGCTTCAATGCCATACAACACTCCTTCCGTGGCCTCCAACTGCTCTTAAACGCTAGTAAAACTAAATGCATGCTCTTCAATCGAACGCTGCGTGCACCCGCCCACCCAACTAGAATCACTACTCTTGGCGGGTCTGACTTAGAATATCTGGACAACTACAAATACCTAGGTGTCTGGTTAGACCGTAAACTCTCCTTCCAGACTCACATTAAGCATCTCCAATCCAAAGTTAAATCTAGAATTGGCTTCCTGTTTCGCAACAAAGCCTCCTTCACTCATGCTGCTAAACATGCCCTCGTAAAACTGACTATCCTACCGATCCTTGACTTCGGCGATGTCATTTACAAAATAGCTTCCAACACTCAACTCAGCAAATTGGATGTAGTCTATCACAGTGCCATCCGTTTTGTCACCAAAGCCCCATATACTACCCACCATTGTGACCTGTACGCTCTCGTTGGCTGGTCCTCACTACTTATTCGTCACCAACCCACTGGCTCCAGGTCATCTATAAATCACTTCTAGGCAAATCTCCGCCTTATCTTAGCTAATTGGTCACCATAGCAACACCCACCCGTAGTATGCGCTCCAGCAGGTATATCTCACTGGTCATCCCCAAAGCCAACACCTCCTATGGCCGCCATTCCTTCCAGTTCTCTGCTGCAAATGACTGGAACGAACTACACAAATCTCTGAAGCTGGAGACACTTATCTCCCTCATTAACTTTAAGCATTAGTTGTCAGAGCACCTTACCGATCACTGTACCTGTACACAGCCCATCTGTAAATAGCCCACCCAACTACCTCATCCCCATATTGTTATTTACATTGTTATATATTTTGCTCATTTGCACCCCAGTATCTCTATTTGCAAATCATCTTCTGCACATCTATCACTCCAGTGTTAATACAAAATTATAATTATTTTGCACTATGGCCTATTTATTGCCTTACCTCCATAACTTACTACATTTGCACACACTGTATATAGATTTTCAATTTTCTATTGTGTTATTGACTGTACCTTTTTGTTTATTCCATATGTAACTCTGTGTTGTTGTTTTTATCGCACTGCTTTGCTTTATTTTGGCCAGGTCGCAGTTGTAAATGAGAACTTGTTCTCAACTGGCTTACCTGGTTAAATAAAGGTTAAATAAAAAAATTTAAAAGGCCTGCCTGCTCAAAGACCTCTCCATCACAGTTGACAACTCCACAGTGTCGCCCTCCCAGAGTGCAAAGAACCTTGACGTGACCCTGGACAACACCTTGTCGTTCTCTGCAAACATCAAAGCAGTGACCCGCTCCTGCAGGTTCATGCTCTACAACATCCGTAGAGTACGACCCTACCTCACACAGGAAGCGGTGCAGGTCCTAATCCAGGCACTTGTCTTCTCCCGTCTGCACTGCTGCAACTCGCTGTTGGGTGGGCTCCCCGCATGTGCCATCGAACCCTTGCAACTTATCCAGAACACTGCAGCCCGCCTGGTTTTCAACCTTCCCAAGTTCTCTCATGTAACCCTGCTCCTCCACACTCCACTGGCTTCCAGTTGAAGCTTACATCCACTACAAGACCGTGGTGCTTACCTACGGAACAGCAAGAGGAACTGCCCCTCCCTACCTTCAGGCTCTGCTCAAACTCTATACTCCAACCCGAGCACTCCGTTCTGCTACCTCAGGTCTCTTGGCCCTCCCACCCATACGGAAGGGCAGCTCCCGCTCAGCCCAGTCCAAGCTCTTCTCTGTCCTGGCACCCCAATGGTGGAACCAGCTTCCCCCTGAAGCTAGGACAGCAGAGTCCCATCTTCTGAAAACATCTGAAACCCTACCTCTTCAAACAGTATCTTAAATAATCCTCCTTCTCACATCGACCCCTCCCCCCCAAAATAAACAACTAAACAGCACTTGCACTTGACCCCCCCCACCCCCCCCTTCTAGCTCTGACTCTACTGACAGCTACGTTATTGAGGAAAAATGTACTTTCTATGCCTGTGATATGTGGTTGTCCCACCTAGCTATCTTAAGATGAATGCACTAACTGTAAGTCGCTCTGGATAAGAGCGTCTGCGAAATGACTCAAATTTCAAATGTAAATGTAAGTTTGTCACCAGTAGGCCTAGTAAATGTAAACGTTGTTTGCAGAGTTCACAACCTACTAAACGTTTTGTTTATTTCATAACCATCATATACGAGTTTTGTAATTTGTTTCATTGTCTTTTGTTTGGAGTGCTCCATGTGAGCAATGTGCTTGTGTCTGGTTTCACTGTCCTGATAAAGTTGGCCTGCTGCGTGCAAATGTAGGAATGTGCCCATTTGGAGATGTCTAATTTCTGATTGATTTAACTCACCATGTCCACCACTAATAAGCTGAGCTTCTCAGTCATTTTTTCTTCACCTCACACAGTAAGTCAACGAAGTCTGTTTATCATGATCTGATGATCCCATATGTCAAATGGAAACGTCATAAAAAAACCAGCTGTCTGTCCCGAGCTCACTGGCACAGGGAACTGAGGGCCCGGAATAGGCTAGTTGATACAATGTTGCGCTTCACTAGCGATAGCTCAAGTCAAGACCGATAGAAAGGGAGGCAGACAGGTGGAGTAGAGAGATTAATGTGATTGAAAGAACCTGCATTTTTATTAGTCAGCTTTAGGCCTATGTATTTTACTTAGTTGATGATGGAAGTTAAAGGTCTACCGTGTCAATGTATCCATATGACAGAGGCTGGTGCTCTCGCATTAGTTGAATTTAAACTTTTAGATCTATAATTTTAATTCAGATTTTTATGATTAACCACGTGACAATGATTTTGAGAAACAAAAACTGAAATGAAACTGTTCCACGAAAATGCGCATATACAAATAATCATAACTGGTGCTCAGATAGCAGGGCTGCCAACTTTTGAAGAAAGCTTGGAGTGAGATTTGCTATGTGACTTTAATTGCCCCCTGGGACAACCCCTAGACCCCATTTCCTGCAATTCTACATATTTATACATGGCTTAGGCGTATGACCAGGAAACAAAAAAATACACAGGTCAGGTGTATTCAGGACACTTTCAACATTAAATGAACACTCAAAGTTTGACGACTTTGTTATTTAAAGTAAAATGTTTATATTAATGTTCGATGGCAGTGGGTAAACAACTCATAGATTGCAGTCTCCGTGTCTATAGACAGCTTTCAAGGTAAGGACACAAACATTTTGTAATTTGGGTGAACTACAGTACCTCTTTAAAATAGGGCTGAAGAAAATCAGGAGGGTTGGCCTGCACTGCTGGTTGTTTGGAAATGTTCTTGTTATAAAAATTAATTTCTCAAAATCACCAACCTTCAAGAAAAATCTAATGAATATAAATATTCAGGTGGTTTATGCCTACTAGTTGAAGATCCTTGCCATCATCTTACTCTACATAGACAAAATATTATGTGTTTATGAGTTGTGAGTCCCCCTACCATCTCTGCCTAGCTTGTACACAACACTAAAATGTCAAAAATTCTATTTGATTCCTGGAGCATTTAATATCCAATGCTTATTTGAATGACTTATTCAAAACTCTCCACTAATGGCTGCAAAAATACATAGCCTCATATAATTCATTTAAAAAAACACAGGTAGGCATATCAGATTTCAAATATGTGATTACACTGGCAAAATTGGGAAAAGGTGGAATAATAAAGTCAAATCAAATGTTATTTGCCACATGCGCTGAATACAAAGGTGTAGACCTTACAGTGAAATGCTTACTTACAAGCCCTTAACCAACAATGCAGTTTTTAAGAAAATAAAAAAAGTTAAGTAAAACATTAAAAATAGCAAATAATGAAAGAGCAGCAGTAAACTAAAATAACAGTAGAGAGGCTATATACAGGTGGTACCGGTACAGAGTAAATGTGCGGGGGCACCGGTTAGTCGAGGTAATTGAGGTAATATGTACATGTGGGTAGAGTTAAAGTGACTATGCATAAATAATAAACAGAGTAGCAGCAGCGTAAAAGAGGGGTTTGGGGTGGGGGGGGGGGGGGCAATGCAAATAGTTTGGGTAGCCATGATTAGCTGTTCAGGAGTCTTATGGCTTGGGGGTAGAAGCTGTTAAGAAGCCTTTTGGACCTAGACTTGGTGCTCCGGTACTGCTTGCCGTGCGGTAGCAGAGAGAACAGTCTATGACTAGGGTGACAATTTTTAGGGCCTTCCTCTGACACCGCCTGGTATAGAGGTCCTGGATGACAAGAAGCTTGGCCCCAGTGATGTACTGGGCCGTACGCACTACCCTCTGTAGTGCCTTGCGGTCGGAGGCCGAGCAGTTGCCATACCAGGCGGTGATGCAACCAGTCAGGATGCTCTCGATGGTGCAGCTGTAGAACTTTTTGAGGATCTGAGGACCCATGCCAAATCTTTTCAGTCTCCTGAGGGGGAATAGGCTTTGTCGTGCCCTCTTCACGACTGTCTTGGTGTGTTTGGACCATGATAGTTTGTTGGTGATGTGAACACCAAGGAACTTGAAGCTCTCAACCTGTTCTCTCTCTCTCCATTCAGCTCCACTCTAATCGTAAGGGGCGTTTCTTTAAAACATGCATCCAATCACCTTGATCTCTTACATAACTAGACCAATCATATGCTTCAATGTGCCGCGGTGATAGAGGTTCAGCTCGTGATGTTAAATTGCAGGCGCAGATGCTCTGATTTCAAAACGATTTGGAGCACAGTTGAAAAGTTAATGCTACAATGGACTAAATAGAAAAATAAAACCAGTACTTTTCAATGCATGAGATATGAGGTGTGCAGTGAGAGTTGGCAACACTGAAATAGATAGAAATTGTGAGACATCCATTCCTTTATCACTGGAAAATATAAAACAGTTCAGTTTGATATAATTTAAAAGCTTACAAAAAGGGTTGTCAAACTATTTTATAATTTCTCGAAATGTATTTTTAAAATAATAATGGTCTTTTTTTAAACCAGGCCAGTGACAATAAAATCTCAATTTAATCTATTTTAAATTCAGGCTGTACAACAAAATGTGGAAAAAGTCAAGGGGTGTGAATACTTGCTGAAGGCACTGTAGAAGTAACATTTAAATCATGATCCTCTACTGTAACCTGAGTATTACTTTGAACAGTCTCTGAGTTATATGACAGTTATAACAGCAGAGTCCCCCAACACATTGTGAACAGACAACACCACCATCTGAAACAAAGTCAGTCCTCCTCAAACGCAGGTATGAAGTCAGCAATAGTGTCAACAACATAATCTGGCACAAAGCTGTGGTTTGTGGAGTGATCACTGTCTCTACTCCTGGGCCGTCTTCATCTGAGAGGCACTGTACCTTTGAGTGAAGCATGGTATCTAGGCCACAGCATGTCTGTCTCCAGACGGTCCCCCACCATCAGGCACTGGGCTGGGTCCACTCTGAACTGACTGGAGATGCACTCAAACATAAAGGGGCTGGGCTTGTCGATCACCGTGGCTTTCCGGCCTGTGGCCACCTCCAAGGCTGCCGTCAGACAACCAGAACCTGAGAGATGAGAATTGGAAATAGATTATGTTCTCTCTCTCACACACACACACCAGTAGGTTAGTTGAGTAGGTGCACAGCATCAGTACCATACCTGGTAGTGTCCTTCCATCGTGTGCCAGGGGTCCGCATCAGTGGCCAAAAACAGACAATCTGGATCCCGCAGATAGGAGGAGGCTTTGGCCAATTTAAGGAAGGTCAACTTGTGATGTTCCACAAGGACTGCTTTGACATCTGAGGCCAATGTGCAGTTAAATATAGTGGCAAACATCTTGCCTTGCACCTCTCAGGTAAGGCTCTGAACAATAAGGGAAGCTGAATATCTGTTCTTGCATTACATACGTAAAGCCCAGACGGTAGAATTTGTTCACGTAATTGTTTTTAATGAAAAACACGTTTTTGCCGTGTTTGATCAAATAACTCACCACCTTCGGCGCACCGGTTATTGCAGACTTTTTATTTTTTTTAAAGGGAAAAATATTGGCTTAAGTGTAGGGATTCGTGTAGGTATTGGGCTATTGGAGGTGGGGACGGCAACCAATTCTGGGGAGAGATCCACCACAAAATCACTTAAAACAGAGTAAAGCAGGAGTCTTGAGACCTTTTCCAGAGCTTTATTTCTGGATCTGTACATCAGGTATTAAAGAACAGAAAATACAAAATGTTTAACAAAACCCAAAGAAAAAAAACAATTCGGTGTCTATGTACAATTCTTAAACAAAAGCGATTCTATTGAACATTCGATAGTAAATATGTTGATTGTCTATATTTCTGGATATACATTTATGTTTTATTCACAAAGGTGTTTTCTTTACTTCAAAGAATTATTATTTTTTAATATTTTTTTTTTTTTACAACCACTATATATTTTTGTACTATTAAACTTCAAAACACAATACAAAATATAAAATAAATTAGTGCTTTCTTACACACAAGTCTCGCCAGAGATTTCAATAAAATATGTCACATTATGAGATTTCAGGAAAGGGTTGTAAAATCGAAATATTCATCTACTAGTCAATGGCCTTTACATTCAGACAGTATTTCCGAGTCTTTGTACCAAACCATAGGGTGAAATAAATATCACTGCACTGCTAAAGCTAGAGTGAGAGCCTGGAGAAACCCACTGCATCTGTCCTTTTTATGATGGTGAGTAACAATGGTCTGGTACATACTCCTAGGCACTTGATGCATCTCAAAGCATTGGATAGGTATAAGCAATATGGTAGTAGTTCATCTGCCATTTTTGGTTATATCTATCCAACCATACCAGGGCCCGTATCCACAAAACATCTCAGAGTAGGACTGCTGATCTAGGATCAGTTTGGCCTTTCAGATCACAATGAATAAGATTATATGGACAGATCCTAGATCAGCACTCCTACTCAAGATGTTTTGTGGATACGGGCCCATATCTATTCAAGTACCTAAGGGACAAGAGCATGATTCTGAACCAGACCCATCTTTCAACATACTGACTACAGAAGCCATCCCTTTCACCAAGACAGCAATGTGTAAAGGAAAATAAATGAAGAGAAACAAAATGGGATTTGTACATATTATGATTGCAACTTCAAAAAAAGACATTGAATAATATATTAATACGTCTTAGGTAAAGCCTTTTTAAGTGGTACATTTTCGAGAACTGTCACACAGCTAGCATGCATTGTTTTGCTGTCTCCCACTGCCAGGGGGAAAAATTCCCCCCAAAATATCCAAACACCAAAAGCCAATCAGTAAAATGTAAAAACATGTAATAATGTCAGTACATATCTACACATTATTGCCTTTTGACAAGGAATCTAATTTTAAGTATTTGTATCAACACAGATTCAGTTTAAGAGGTCAATTAAGACATTTTCAAGGCTATTAGTTAATTATTTACATGAAACTGTCTACATTTGGGGAAACAATGCAAGGTGAACAAACAGCTGACTCCAATGTCTGTCATAGAAACAGAATGACTAGATAACACCTAGCTAGGTAAAACCAATGCAACAAACCCATCTGTACATACTCAGGATTGTGAATTATTGTATGGTACATTTTTATGTAAAAATCTATGGACTTTTGTGGGTGACATTCAGAATGATACTGAACAAAAATATAAATGCAACATGTAAAGTGTTGGTCCCATGTTTCATAAGCTGAAATAAAAGATCCCAGAAATTGTCCATACGCACAAAAAGCTTATTTCTCTAAAATGTTGTGCACAAATTTGTTTACATCCCTGTTAGTGAGCGTTTCTCCTTTGCCAAGATAATCCATCCACCTGACAAGTGTGGCATATCAATAAGCTGATAAAACAGCATGTCACTACACAGGTGCACCTTGTGCTGGGGACAATAAAAGGCCCCTCTAAAATGGGCAGTTTTGTCACACAACACCACAGATGTCTCAAGTTGAGGGAGCGTGCAATTGGCATGCTGACTGCAGGAATGTCCACCAGAGCTGTTGCCAGAGAATTGAATGTTCATATCTCTACCATAAGCGGCCTCCAATGTCGTTTTAGAGAATTTGGCAGTAAGTCCAACCGGCCTCACAACCGCAGACCTGTGGGATAGTCTGAGGAGGGGGGTGCTGAGGAGTATTTCTGTCTGTCATAAAGACCTTTTGTGGGGAAAAACTTATTCTGATTGTCTGGGCCTGGCTCCCAAGTGGGTGGGCCTGGCTACCGCCCACCCATGGCGGCGCCCCTGCCCAGTCATGTGAAATACATAGATTAGGGCCTAATTAATTTATTTCAATTGACTGATTTCCTTCTATAAACTGTAACTCAGTAAAATCGTTGAAATTGTTGCGTTTATATTTTTGTTCAGTATATATACCCCTGAAACCAACTACTTATTGAACTCACAATGCATAGGTAAATTAAGTAATCACTACTGCATCCATTAAAAAAAAGACAATGATGGTTTCCCAACACTCAACAATTCACAATTAGTTCAGTCAAGAGAAATAGAAGTTGAATCTCTGTTAGCCTGCAACTGGACATTAAATTATGGACCGGATAATACAAGGCATCCTCCAGTCAATACTGTGGAAGTAGCAGAAAAGGGATAGAAGTGGCTTTAAATAAAGAAATAATACTGCTAACAAGCTTATGCAGGCCTTTTAAGTAGTTTCAATAAAGAGCAATACAATCGAGGAAAAAAAGAAACCCAACCTTTTTTTTGCAGATTGAACAAGCTCCATGATAAACAGACAAACAGCACAACTAGCATAAAAAGTACTCAACTTGGGCCAAATAGATTTATGAAGAAATGCATGTTGTGCTAAGAATATAGGGCAGAAACTATGTACGTTCCTGTAGCTGAACACATGACATCTCAATGCAACACTATAATGCCAATCCAAAAACTGTTCTGTCATAATGTAAAATATTGCCATGATATTGGCTAATTTCTGGGGCAATAAGAGACTGATTTATAAGGGCATGTTTCAGATAATCTGATGGACAGATAAAAATGCCCAAATTTGTGGGGTGTTAGACCCAGCCTTTTAGTCTCTACATTGATCACTTGACTCCGTTAATAAAATTGGGGGATTTAAAAATGTCTTGGCAAGAGCTGTCACAGCTGAACACTGAGGAAAATCATAATATAATATATTGATACAATTCTAGAACATTCTCCTGTGGTTTGGCCACTTCAGACTGTTAAAGTCTGAAAAAAGCAAGCCGAGTACAAAAGAAGCTTCCACAGGAACAAAAACAAAGGAGGGAGAGAAAAACCATCTTAGCAACTGATATGCTCCTAGTTATAACCTACACCATCTCAACACCAACGACTGTTGTTGCATTAAATACAAAACCCAGGCTCCTCTCGGACAAAACACAACATTTGCCCAAGCCTGGTTTCTGTAAGTACCTGTAAACACTGATATTCAATCAAAAATACCACTTTAAAAATGAACAAACTAAGTAAACCAGAACAAAGCTATTTTGGCAACTGTATATGAGTGGCAGGATTATGTAGCTTTGAAGAAGTCGTCTGTAGATGTGTGTGTGAGGGATGAGGAACAAACACAACTGTCTATGCGCAGCCTCCGTGCCAGGCTGGGCTGGGCCCCACTGTACATGGACACTGACATCTCAGGACCGCGGAAAATAAATGGCTATATAAACTCTTGAGAAATCAAGATTTTTTGTTCTATACGTTAAAGACATCACTGATGTCATATTTCACAAATAAAATCAAAACGAAATAAATGTGTATATATAATTATTAAACAAAAATCTCCAGTGAGTGAGTCTTATGTACACATGGGATGGTGGATTTAAAGGAGGGATTCTGGGGGCAGGGGTGGTCACTCTGACTGGAGCGCCGTGCTGTGATGTCGTGCATGTGCTCCCATAAACCCATTGGGATCCCCACTGCCCGCCAAGCTCCCAAAGTCTGTGACGGACACAGCCATCTTGGCGCCAGTGATGCGGTGGTGCGGCGTGTTCCGCCGCCCCTCAAAGTCCACTCCGAGGTTACCCACGGAAACGTCGTTGATGAAAGAGTCGGGCAGCGTCAACTTGAGCCTCTTAGAAGGCCGCTCGCAGTCCTTGCCCCCGTACACCCCTCCCCGCTGGCCCAGGTCAGAGTGGTAGAAGCCGGTGTCCAGCATGTTGAGACAGTCGGGATCTCCTCCGTTGGAGGGGAAGCCCAGGGGCTCGTCCTGGGCCAGGGACCCTCGGTGGAGGCTCTCCAGAGGGGGGAAACTGTACGAGTCCAGGCAGCTCACCTCCGCTGGGCTGCACACTGTGGCCACGCTGTTACTCAGGGCTGAGGGAGGGGGAAACATATATAAATTACTTGGTTATCTGTGGATTTCTTATGTATTGTTTTTAGGACTTATGTTGAAGGTATAAAATTGTATTGTTGTGTATAATCTGTGTAATGTAATATCGAATACCATATCTGAAGTTAGGCTTGTGAAAAAGAGTTACCCTATCAAGGAAGGAGGGTTTCAGTTTGTGCTACATGCAGTGTGGAGCGTCTGAGACCCTGTTGACTAACCTGTGAGGTCGCTGGCAGTGATGGAGTCGAGCAGGCTGAGCTGCTGCTCTGTGGTGGGCTCCATCCTCACCCCTCCTCCTCCACCTGAGCACACAGAGGATGAGCTGTCTACTGCCAGGCCTTCTGCCTCGTCCACCAGCCGGTCCATCAGGTCCCTGCAGGCAGCGGGAACACACAAGACATTAACACACACTCACATTATAACCATTAGCCATCGCCACCCCTTTTGTGTAGTTGCAAGCACATTAAAATACAATTTGCATACACAGGCTATCATCATATTCAGAGGAAACTCTATACGTCTTTGACTATCTGACATACATTTGGCAATGAATTCAGACCTCAGTTACTACGGTTGTTGAGCAGACTGAATGATCACTTACGTTATGCCAGGATAGCTGCTATACTTCTTCTTGCCAAAGCGATTCTGCTGGACAAAGAAATCAAAGCGCTCCGACTTCTTCCACATGTAGTAGAAAGCCACACATTCAGCTACCGTCCGTGTCTTAACCTGATAAAGGGCAGATATACATGATGAAGAGAAGAGTTCTCCAACACAGGAAGTTAGTGCCACAGGCTTTTTAAAGAAAGGGTAAATAAAGTGTGCATGTTCATATCCTTACAGAAGCTATCAAAATGATATTACAATAATTTAACCACCTTTAAAATCAGTAACAGACAGTGTCCCACCTTGTGTTTCTGTATGAGGTGAAAGTTCTTATCATATATCTGTAGTGCATGTTCAAAGTTTCTGCATTCATCTTCAGACCACAGTGGGGATTTCTCTGTAATAACAATCACAAGGGGTCATTTCCCCTCTCCCATTGCAGTGACATTCATCAAAGAGTCTACTAATCATTCAAAATGGTAACTTACCCTTTGATGAGTTCACATTACTGCAATACCTCTCCAGTGCTTCGTGGGTATTGTAGTTGCATTTCACAAGCTCATACAGAGCCTACAGGGAAACGAGAGGAATAGGTCAACGACTTACATTGACAACAACCATGACAATCAACATCATGTAACTTTGACAGACAGACAACAACTCTGAGATGGCAGCTGGAGAATGTCTAATGTTATGACATCCAGCGAGTCTTAAAGAAGTCTTCCACAATGCCAGTAAGACAGACAGCTAGATGAAGATTGACCATTACATGTAGTGATGACTGACCTGCTCATTGTCGCTCACATGAGCCCCTGCCATGTCACTTCCTGTCCTCTCATCGGTCGCCCGTAACGACGCCTCACACAGGAAGTCCCTGACCTTGCTCTCTGACAACACGCCCGGGCTCCATAGCAACTGGTCATCATCTTCGTATACTGCACGAAAATGGCAGATGAGAATCACAATGTTAGACACTGTGCAATGTTACACTTGGAAACACTGCTAAATGTCTGACTGTCAAGTGCAACGGGTTTATGGGTTAACCTCTTGAGAAAGCCTGAACTCACCCTTATCATTGCCATAGTGACAGAGGTGGGTGGGGACCTCTGCTTGGTGCTGCGAACCCACCATTATTTCCTGTGAAATGCAAATACAAACAGATTTACCCCACAGAACATGCAGCACCATGTTTCTACCATCAGCCCAAATGGAGGTCTAGGATCAGTTAACCAAATAAGGTTACTAAACAACCTTAACCATTGGAAAGTAAAATAACTGACTTCCAATTGGTGCTTATGGGAAACTTAATCCTGTATCTTCTTCAATCAAGTCACTTTTAAAAGGAGGACAGGATTCTTACTTTTCTGGAGTCGTCTGGGCCTGGCCCATCTTCCTCACACTCGGACTCCTTATCACCGTCGTAGATAGTGTTAGCTGACAATGCAAAGACAGAATGGGCACGCCCCATTAGAATGCTTGCTATATGGGACCCTGTGCTTATCAACTCATCACGTGACAAGGTCATTAAAATATGGTATGAATGTTTAGGAGGGGATAAATGCTGTCAAAGATAACAAGATAAATAAGTTCAAGTACTTTTGTTTATAATGACACCTGCACTTGACAGTATTTTTGCCATTATTATGAGTTTTCAATGACAGCATACTGCAGGCTAAAATTGGGAAAATAAAATATTGCATTCACACTATAAAGCATGATATGAATCTGACAAATTGTATTTGTGTTTTATAATTGTGCTCTGATAATGTCTTATTTATCCCTGAGATGTCCTAATAAAGTTTGATTTGAATTGAAGTGAATTGCCTTACATCTGAGTGTTCTGGGGAAGAAGTCGGTGGCCTCATGGGAGGTGACTGAAGGGGTGAGGTCATCAGCAGAGGACTGGGTCTCCTCCTCATAGTCCCCTGATAGCAGGTCTTTAGCTATCTCCTCCTGTGGAAGAACACAATCATCATTAGTAACCGTTAGTTACATCAGTACTGTTAGTTAGCGCTGGGAGCCCGCCAAGGATCAATTGATCCTAAAAGCTACAAGTTTGTTTTGTTCCATATCTGTTGTAAACACACTTTGGCGGTAATACAGAAGTAATACAGACACTTATAATGTAATCATAGTTGGGATAGATGGCCATCACAGATACATAAGGGAACTTGACAGAAAACATCTTAGAATATCCACAAATTTGGCACTGTGACAATGTTCCCTTCACCAAATCTGAAATATTGGAATGAATTTTGCTCACTTTGTCCAAAGTCATGTCTGGCAGCTCATCCGTCAGCTCCCCAGAAAAGCTGTCCATACTGGAGCCTGCAGCCGTACTGACAGACGCCTCGTAGCGGTAGATGGCCAGCAGTTCCTCCAACGGCATGTTCCCCTCCTGTTACAACAAAAATAAATCATATTAGATAATGTCTCTACAATCCAAATCATGATAATACATGTCTGCTATGTGAAGAATGGTTCAACAAAGTTCCATGATAGTGTCTGTCTCATTAACAACAAAGAACATAGTCATGTGATACATTATTCTTTCCCCCCTAGCCTATAACATTTGATTAATTATAGTAGGGAAGGAAGTGGTCATTCAAGCATCGACAGAATGAAAAACCTTCCTATAAAAGCGACAACTACATTGCCGGTCCAAAAGAAAGGAAACTGGCCATTAATTCCTATTATTAGCTAGCCAACCAACCTTCTCTAGATCGGCTATCTCTGAGTTAAAGTTTTTCTCGCCCTCCAATGACTCTTCCTCCTCCAAAGTCCTCTCGTCGTCATATTCGTGGACTAGCATCTCTGCTGTCGGATCGAAGTCATGATCTTCAGACGATAAAGAGCCAACTGTGGAGTGGGAAAACTATTTTAGATTGCAGTTGAATGGCACCGTTATAAAGGACAAATCGCTAATAAATTAGATACACTCAGCAAAACCGGCACTGCCAATACTTGTCAATGCCATTGGTCCATCCAGAGCATCATTTTCATGGAATTATTTTCTCAATAATATTTTTTTATAAATGTATTTAGCTTCATGGTATTATAATAATCATTACCTGAATAGAAAATGGACATGTCATATTCATAACTTCAGTATGTCACTTTCAAATTCCATTAAAACTGGAATCCTTAGTTGCTACATCAATATATACCCATTGATTCTTGAAGAATATAACTTACAAATGCCTCATGAGCTTAGTTCAACTGTCATACCCCATCAAAACCCAAAATACAAGCTTGTTTTACTCCAATGTTTGTAAACAGTGTAAATGTAAACAAACACTATTGCCTCAAAACTATAATTTTTATATCATGGATGGTCAGTCATTGAATCCATACCTCTGTCTATGAATTTAAGTGTTTACACATTTATCCAGGCCCATCCCTCAGCTTTTTAATCAAAACACAGGCAGAGTGACACTTAGTTATTGTTTGAATTAAGTCAAGTGTTTTTAAAAAAGAGAATTCCTACATTACCTGGGCTCGAACTCCCGAAGGAAGCCTGTTTAGAAGAACAAAAAGAGAAGAGCACAAATGAAGCAACATTGAAAATACTAAATACTATGTGAATGTAGCCTGGGCTGTCACTAGTGGGTTTTATGGATCTCCACCATCACTTTTGGTGTACAACCAGTAATGCACTCGAGTCCCCCGACGACCGGTTCGTACATAAAACATTCTTCATTCACATCAAGCCCAGACGATAATAGACATCCATAAAGCCCACTTGCGGCTGCCCAGGCTAATGTGAATGCTGCTCTGTTACACTGTCGAAAACATCAGTCGATTCTTGTAAAAAAAAAAAAAATCACCGACTTTTTCCTTGTGTTGCTCGTACATACTAGCTACGTAAGATGAGATTCAATTGGGTCCGTGCTATCCGTGACCCATGGGACATCCCTACCACATTGAAGATTACATATTTGGTTAGGGTTAAGGGTTAGGTTATGTTTAGGAGTTAGGTTAAAGGGTTAGGTGCAGGGAAGGGTTAGCGAAAAGGGTTAGGGTTAGCTCAAAGTAATTGAAAAGTTGCTAATTATCTAAAATGCTAAAGTTGTCCGTGATTAGATTCGAACTCGCAACCTATACACCCACCCTCCTTTTGTTTTTGCCTGAAGTAACATCTATCTTATGTAACCATACCAAACGTAATCATACTAAATGTAGTGTCTCGGATTTACGTACAGAACAATGCAAAATGCTCTGAGACCAGTTTGCAACTGAGCAACAAAAATTTGATAAAGGTCGGTGGTTATATTTGCTAAAAGTTATTTTTAAAGTATTAATTTCAGCACCCTGCGAAAGGTCCGCAATCGTACAGGACAAACATAGGTACAGGTAAGCGTTTTCAGAATTGACATTTTGACAATAATCGACTGATAAAAATGTATGCACTCACTAACTGTAAGTCGCTCTGGATAAGAGCGTCTGCTAAATGACTAAAATGTAAATGTAATGGTGACTCAAGGTTGATGCTAGCAAATCCCGCGACCAGTTATCAAAACTCAACTCCGCCTAGATATAAGAGAACGGAGTTGGGCATTCCTCAGCTAGCTATCGACCGTAAGCGGTTTGATTATTAAATATTTGGTAGCAATATGATATAAAATTCGGATGTGTGACGCAAAATAACAACAATAGCCAGTTTTCCCACAAACTGTCAGTGTTCTGAAATGATCGAGAAAGGTAATCTTATCAACTACAGTAAAACCTAGGCAAGACATTTTTTTCGTTTTGTTTAGCTGCACGGTATTTCTAAAACTGAGAACAATTCCCCGGTCATAAGCGATAAAAAAAAAATAATGTACACAAGAACCGAAAAGTACCATCGCAATTAATTGCAAATCAAATGTATTTTATTTTCTTCCCCCACCAAATTGGCGTTTCAATCTACCCAGTCGATGTTAGCAAAGCAGCTGAGAACGCGCACAGGCCTTGTCGTGAAAGATCGGTATATACATTTAAACATATTTTAGAGGCAATTGCGGCAATCATTACACAAAACGACACATATAGAACAAAAAAAAACTTAATCTATGCAATCGATAACATTTTAAAAGAAAGTTAACGATAAAAATGTAAAAAACATCGATTTAAAATCTGATGCTTCTCCCCTACTTTCCCTCTTACCTCCGCCATATTGGTACCTATAGGCTCCTTCCAGCCTTCCAGCCGAGTACCCGGATCGACTCCCTGAACCAATCAGAGATCCAGGTAACAGTAGTAGTGACGTCTTTCTAACTGAACACTGGTAGGCTACCTGTCAAAATCTAGCTAGGAATGTTACTGTATAAATGGACTTTGCTAAAAATTTATTGATTAGCAAACGTTAAATTTGTTTGTATTTATAGGCGTGTCATTTGAGACCTAAGAGTAGCCTTACGAATTACTTTTAATTTAAAATTTTTATCATCACCACCACCACCAATATGGTTCAGTTCCAGTGTTGTTAATACATAATCAACCACCATTTGGAGGAAGAAGTGGGTTTTGATCAAAATCAACAGCGATCAACAATGACGTCAACAATCAACAATAGGGTCTAATAATGTTGTGCATTGTTCCCCGAAGTCTAGGTCCATAAGACTCATTGAACAGCTAATGAAATGGCTACCCGGACTATTTGCATTGTCCCCTCATCCCCTCCTTTACGCTGCTGCTACTCTCTGTTTATTATCTATGCATAGTCACTTTAACTCTACCTACATGTACATATTACCTCAATTACCTCGACTAACCTGTGCCCCCGCACATTGACTCAGTACCGGTACCCACTGTATATAGCCTCGCTACTGTTATTTTACTGCTGATCTTTAATTATTTGTTATTTACATTTTTTTGTTATCTATTTTTTACTTTTCTTAAAACTGCATTGTTGGTTAAGGGCTTGTAAGTAAGCATTTCACTCTAAGGTCTACACCTGTTGTATTCAGCGCATGTGACAAATACAATTTGATTTAATTTGATTTGACTTGCCTTACCAGTAGGGGGCACAGCTGAACTATAAATGGAGTGAAAAATTCTCACCCATTTCATTTTCTTCCTTGCATATTTCCCTGTCTTTCTAAGCAAATCAGTGACCTTAAACCACCCTCTCACCTCATATTTAGCATAGAGAGAGAGAGAGAGAGAGAGAGAGAGAGAGAGAGAGAGAGAGAGAGAGAGAGAGAGAGAGAGAGAGTGAGTGTGTGAGTGAGTGAGTGTAAGCAGCCTATCAGACAGAGGAAAACACTGACTCCACTTGTTATTCCACATGCATCATCAGTTTGGGGAAGGTGGGCTTTTACATCATAACAGCTGTGTCACTTATATAAACTGTGTCAAGTGGTTGGCCTCCATGCACACTAAAGGCCAAAATTGGCCTTTTCTCTTTGATTTTAGTTTGTGAAAGGTTGTTTAGGAGAAACTCTCCAGATACAGAGTAATCACAGCCCACAACTGTTTACCATTAGGACCCATTTATAAGGACAGAGGTCCAAGGGGTTTGTCAAAGTGACAAAACAATGCAGTGTTTTGAAAGCAGATGGCCCCAAAAGGCAGCAGCGTGGCCCTATCCGTGAGCAGGTGGGTGGCGTGGGTTAACATGACAGGATTACAGAACAGATAATTACTGACTTATTCACTGGGAAGCTGGGCCCAGGAAGACACACAGACATGTTTCATTGCCTTTATTGTGGAGGGAGTTAGTTTGTGCTAGAAGGACAGAGATGAGCAACAATCTCAAATCAGGGTATGAAAATGTGAAATGTAGAAAAACTTTCCTGCACATGCATCATCATCACCCCCCACCACCACCACCATCATCACCACCATCATCACCACCACCACTAATATGGTTCAGTTCCAGGGTTGTTAATACATAATCAACCACCACAATAACATTTGGAGGAAGAAGCGGGTTTTGACCAAAATCAACAGCGATCAACAATGACGTCAACAATCAACAATAGGGTCTAATAATGTTGTGGGTTATGGATAGAGAAGAAAGAGGCTTGTGATTCAGACTCTTCCATTCACAGCAGAGCCTGTGCCCACACTGCTGATACAATTACTATGAGTGGGGTAGCAGAGGGGATATTACAGTAAAATGGCTATTTCATGCCACGTGTCTTTCTGGTGGTGACGTCTGGAGAGACCAAAACAAACAGCATCAATTCCATTTCAACACTGCAACATCTTTGAAGGCACTGGAGTAAACATGCACATTTTGATTATGTGTTCTGGATAAACATTATAGATTATTCAAAAGGCAAAGGGTTGGAGCTTGATGCTTCCACTGAACTTCTACCTTGACATTATAGAACTGTGTGTAGGCCATGCATTAATGCCATTTTCCAATCGGGATGCTAGTTAATAGGACAAATTCTAGGAAATGGGATGAAATAGAATTTGAGTTGCATTAGCTATCCATAGAGTTGTCCCAGAATGTTACTGGGACATTTTCAACATGTCCCTGACTGAGTCTGTAATACCAACATGTTTCAAGCAGACCACCATAGTCCCCGTGCCCAAGGACTCTAAGATAACCTGCCTAAATGACTACCGACCCGTAGCACTGATGTCTGTAGCCATGAAGTGCTTTGAAAGGCTGGTCATGGCTCACATCAACAGCATTATCCCAGAAACCCTAGACCCACTCCAATTTGCATACCGCCCCAACAGATCCACAGATGATGCAATCTCTATTGCACTCCACACTGCCCTTTCCCACCTGGACAAGAGGAACACCTACGTGAGAATGCTATTCATTGACTACAGCTCAGCATTCAACACCATAGTGCCCTCTAAGCTCATAAA